AAAAGTATTCTTACATTTCATTTAAATTTTGTTCATGTTTATTCTTGTTTTTAACATTTTACATATTTTCCCTCTAATATTTACACACTTGTTATAACTAATCAACTGCTATAAACAAACCTCGGAACTAATCAAAGAGTATTTATTAATGTAAAATTCGTAGCACAGCTTCTTCAAATGTTGCAATTTACTGCGGGTAAAATCTCTGTCACCTTTGGTAATCCCTGTTGCATACTACTTCATATGTTTTATTTCTGATTTCATATACTACTGCTTTGCTATCAACTGCATGTACTTAGTCTTGATCTGTAACAAGCACCTAAATGTAATATATAGTCCCTGATATGGTTTTTAGAAAGTGCCTTCATAGGAATATATCTACAATTTACAAAATATATGCAATATTGCAACAGAAAATCAAAGCAGCAAATATATCACCATGTGTCCAGCCCTACTGCAATGTCCAGCATGCCTAACAGGTGCACAGAAGATTTTCCTCTGCATCTCTGCAAATGTATTTACTGTTTCTTTATTTCCTATCATTTACTAAGTGGAGAAACAAAAGTATCACAAAATATAGTCCTGGATAGCCATTTATATAAATAGATACATTGATGCTATTTATATGCAAGGATAGCACATGGATACATCGCTAAATAAACCTGAGCTGGTATCACTGGATCTTCCTGGGTTACTGAACAGTTACCCCTTGCACTTTTTTTGTTAGCTTATAAATGTACCAGTCAAGACTTCTTCCTCTCTTGCTTCTTATTTATCAGGAGAAACAAAAGCCCTCCCAGTGCTAGTCATACTCTTTGACCTCATAGTCTAAGCTGAGCAGCAGAAAACTTCAGTAATTCCTGTATTTATCTGTGCCAATGTGTTTTGCTGTATCTGTCTGAAAAAAATATACTACTTCCCCCTCCGTCCCCCCTTGATTAGCCACATGCAACACAGAAAAGAACAGCAAAGTGTTGCAGTGATTCACATCAGGTGCATACAGTGTGTCATCTGCATTATTTCATATTTCAGCATATTTTGAAAACATTTAAAATTTTTAATTCTCCTAAGTACACAAGTATTATTGGCTTGAAAGCTTTTGGTGCTACCCTAAAGATTACAAAGATGATGGCATTTTCTTCTTAACATATGCTTTCTTTAAAATATGAAGAACATACTGAAAGTTGGGCTTTCTGGACACTTGAACTCATCTCTTTATGTTTATATGAAATCTAAGCAAAAGGGAGGTGATGATATGATGGATTTGTTCAAATATCTCCAGTATCCTTTTGAAATGCTGATTTTATTTGATGTTCCAAGATATAGCCAGACTGAAATAAAACATATGTTACCTATGAATTTGGGAATTTTTTCTAAGAGCTATGTTTGAAATGAGCTAATGATTTGAAACGACAGAAGTTGGCTGTTAAACTGATGAATCTGGCATTTTGAAAGTAATTCATGATGGTAATTTTATTCATATTCACATTACTTGAACTGGCTAGTTGGATTTATGCCAATTACTATTGCCAAAACAATTGTGACACATTTTTGATATGCTAGTAAAAACATCTATTTTGGAAATTTTTGACTAGTAAATGCTGGCTTTTTCCACTTAAACACAAAACTATCGGTTAATTTCTCATCCCGTTTGGAATAATAAAGATGTGTTGTGGCCTTCTTCCTTACTGTCCAGTAGTCTTTTAAAAAACTATATTGTCCCCAGACTTTAAGCATGAAAGTGAAGAAAAAGTTTCTAAATTAGATGAGGGACCAGGTGTTTGTCAAGCTGATTTCACACTTCTTTAATTCATGGATACTGTTAAGCAAATGCATAACAGTCTATCCTCATTGGACCCGTTTAAATGCTTTAAAAATAGACTACTTTTGGACAAAATGATAATGTAATGTATTAGAATAACATGCTATAAAATTAACACTAAAGAAAGGCCAAACTGGATGACACTGAAGATTTTTACCAACACTAATGTTTAAGGTTCAATTAAATGTGCTGACAAGTATGAAATCACTATCTTTAAAAGTAATCTGCTGATTTACTGTTAAGCTTCCATTAGCCAAAACTTCTAGATTTCTGTGTTGTATTTCCAGCATTAACTGTTTAGAATTTTTTCCATCTAGCATTTTCAGATATTGTCCTTTTAAGCAAATAGCTCCTCTACTAAAAACTACGCAACAAATCAAATAAATTAAAATTAATCAATTCTATTGGTATAGTGGTGTTTCTGAATGACTCTGATGACCACAAATTCAAATTAAGGCTTGCAGAACTGCTTCCTAGGTTTGAAGACGAGGTACATTAGCAAAAGTAGAAAAGTAAACTAGTCACCCTTTTAAACAGCATTCACTGGGGATGCTTGCAAAACTAACTGAACTGAAGGCTTGTTCATTCTATAAATATATCATAAACTGGAGAATGAAGCAGACAGACATAGCAATTAATTGTACGTAATGTTAATACTCACATAAGGTTAAATACGATAGGAGTTACATATGAGTGGAGTAATAGGAAGTTAATTATTGCAAAACTTTGCAATAATTGAAGCATTCATTGCTTCAATTTTATTCATAGTATGCTTTCCTTGTTCTGATACTTCTTCACTTCAGGCAGTAATATGGGTTGTCAGATTCAATTTTTAAGGTAAAGGTGTGATGTATATAAGTTAATTTATACATGTTCATTGAACATATTTTTTTTCCCCACCTGTTTTTTAACAATGAGATTGTACTACAGAGCACTTGTTCTCTTTCTCGCTTTAGTAAGCTTTTCATCATGGCTGGGCTTCGCGAACGAAGATTTGGGAAGGCTCTACCCACATTTGTCACAAGCACGCTGGTGGCTAATGAGGCCAATACGAGATAGACATGTCCGATTGTGAAAGGCACAGCAGAAAGACTCCTTAGATGGTGTATTCTGCAAGACACGATTCTTTCTGTGTTGTCGTTTCTCCTCGAGAGTGATCCTGCGTGTGTTCTCAAAGGAAGCAGCAGCGTTATAGATGGTGTGTCTCCAGGCCTCCCGACTGGAGACAAGAGTAGACCAGTTATGATGATCAATGTGGCCAAGGCTGAGATGTTGGTTCAGGGAGTCCTTGTATCTTCTCTTCAGGGCTCCTCTCTTGCGGCAGCCAGTGGCAAGTTCACCATAAAGCAGGATCTTAGGGAGGCGGTGGTCCTTCATCCTGGAGACGTGCCCTGCCCAACGCAACCGTGTTCTCAGCAACATGGCCTCAATACTTGTGACTGCTGCTTGTTCTAGAGCAGATGTACTGGTCACATAGTTACAAAAAGTGTACACCATGCTCTATTGCCAATAATGACTGTTCTCCTCTTGCAAATATGAGGAATGCCGTTTTCCCACCATTCTGTATTATATTTCATTTATTCACCAATCTAAACTTGTATAGTTTAGGTTCTGGTTTTTGCAGTCTGAATGAGGACCTAAGAATTGTGAGGACAGAATTAAAGTATTGCTCCTGACATCAGTTTCCTAAAAGTAGTCTTTGTTCTGCTGCTTCTCTCCGTGTCTCCTACTTTTCAGCAGCATCTTATGGCTCATTCATAACCTATTGTATTTAATACTTGAAAATCTGATTTCTGTATCTAGTATTCATGCTTTACCTTTTGTCTTTAGCTGGCCTGAACCGTGAGGCTACACTTCATTGTCTACTTAGAACAAAAAGAGATTAATATTAAAGGGATGTCAAATTCTTAAATTTCCACAAAACTTGTAGAAGAGATAGAGCCACATAACTGAGCATTGTGTAGGCATAATTTGAGTGTTACAAAGTTTAGCTGACTGTTGGGATCTGGGGCTCAGCTATCAGCAGAGAAGGAGCTGATGAGATTATGTAGCAGGCCAAGGACAGCAGGAGCTGGGAGAAACTCCTTACTCTGAGGACCTTCCTCACAAGACCTATTGATATTTAACTATGTTGATTGGCCTGTCTCCTGCAGCAAGATATGGAAAGACTTTGTGATGATGTTATCAGAACATGTAGAAACCCCTTTGTTCTTTTCCCGCCATGCGGTCCTAGCTAAGGGAAAATATTAACCAACTGTGTAACTAGCAGAAAATTGTGTAATCTTTTAGTTGGCATAATCCATCCCCTAGTTAGCATAACCCATCCTCCTCATTAACATGTCCTGCCCCCAAGACCCTTATATTGCTTTTCACATGTTCAATAAAGATTCCAGTTTTCACCCTCAAACCTGGGATCGTTCGTTATTGACCTCTTCAACTGACTACATAGCAGCACTAATTCTGAGTTTATTATCCTGATTTTCTTCAAGGGAACACTGCATTATTTTTAAGGTTCTATATTTAATTACTGAAAAAAAAGAAAAATTCATATTCTTTCACTTTTTCAGTTGTAATGGTATTAGGACTTAATCCTAAACTAGAAATGAGTATTCACATGGGGAAAGAAGAATCTGATGTCATTTATTTCTGGTTGTGATAGGTGTACCTGATGGTTTAAGAAACAAAGAGCCTGTCACTTTTGTGGTATTTTGTAATATGGTACCATCACTGCCAGAGAATTATGACAATCACATTAAATATTTGGTTGGACATCACGTGGTCACCTTTCACTGCAAACTTAGAGAGTATTGAGAGCATCTGCTTAACTTCCAAAGCATATGTTAGCTTTTCCACTTATTCTCTCCTAGTTTGACTAGGCTTCCACCTCTACCTGCATGTTTGATATAAAACAGAAAAAAAAAGAGCACTTTTTCAATGAATATAAGTAAGATTATGTGGTAGCTTTGACAATTTGTGTCAGTATCCACACGGCCATGACAAGGTGCGTGTAGCAAGATTTTTGGGGGATGTATTTTGAATGATTCAGTAATTTCAACTGGTGTAACCCACTGCTAGGGAGGGCAGTGAATTGATAGTAACAAGTTCTGTATTTATTTGCTTATTCTAAAGACTGGTTTAAAACACATAAAAAATTAATAAAAAGTTATTTTTCTTTCAGATGGGAGATGAAAGAAGATGCAGATCTTGAAGATGAGGAGAAAGTTATGGTGGAACATTTAAAAAATGTTTATTTGATACCGAGCATTCCTATCTCAGAGAATAAAGAAGAACAATTACCTTGACAGATTTTGGGGAGCAGCTTTTTTCTGAATTCAACATGATTAATTTAATGGCTTACTTATTAATCATGGTGTATTCTGGACAGGACTAGAAAGCTCAGGAATATGTATTTCCTGTAGGAGATAATAGGAGTTTTAAAGTAAAGAGTATTCCCCCGTTATTGTCTAGTCACCCCATCCAGGCAGCAATTGTTCATGCATGCATAAGGCGAGCAACAATATATGACAATGTCAATGTCACAAAACAAGGAGAGTGTATCTCAATACTCTGCAGAATAAACCTGAGTGACAAATCAAGAATTGTTTTAAAAGTATAAAACTCACTCTGAAAATAATGCAAATTTAGACACATGCTAAGCAAACACTCCTGGCTTCCATCCACCACTTTGGAGTTGTACTCTCTGTCCGCAGAGACTGTCCCCAGCTAGTGTCACTCAAGGAACTTTTCTCTCCTTGTTTATTAGATCCCCTAAAACACATGAAAAGGTACAGTTATAGACCATAAATCTGCAGTCCTTTGTGAGTTGGTCCAGAATGGGTACACTTGGCCATTATTCCCAATCAAAAATGCATCAGCCTTATTACCCTCACAGATCCTAACTGAACATCCAGTATATGTTATGGCTTAAAAAACACATTATAGAGCAACTAGAAGTTTTGAGAAGCATCTTTTTATTTAAAAGAATTATTCACAGGCACTGCTCAGAGGATTATCTTAGCAGTGAACTGAGAGAATTATAAATAATATCTATTTCTGATAAATACAGTAAAATTTTATTTTCAAAATAATCCAGGTTTGATATTAAAATTTTTCTAAATATTAAATCTTTTTCTTATACACTTGTAAAAACTATCAGCGTGACAATATTTTTTATACAGATGTTGTGGTTAGTATTTCTTTATCTGTACAGAAATAATCCATAATTTTTCAGTTTGTTTCTTGCACTGGAATTCAAATGGAACTATTTTATCTGCTTGATGAAGGACCCTCACAAGATCTTGCTAAGGCTGCAACCTGTGCAGCAGCTATTCCTGTTCCCAGCACATTTTCACACAGATGTTATTATGGATATAACTCAGACCACTTAAATAGGAGGAAGGCATCTTTTCAAACCATCTAGGGATGGTGACTCCACCACCATTATACAGTTTCTGCAGTAAAGCGATCCAGGCTCCAACAGACAACAGCCAAAGTGTCTGCGCTGCCCTGAGTCACATCCGTACTCTATCTAAAAATGAGGCAAAGAACTATATAACCAGGATCATATTCAACAGGTTTGATCTTTTCCAGTTACTAGGTCAAACAGAATGCTATGTCTTGCCTTGCCAAACTCAGGTTTCAAACTTCATTAATGGTGGAGGTTTGCTGCAATAGCACGTAACTTTTTCTTTTTAGGACAACCTTTTAGAAAAATAATATGTTTTCAGTTCTCCCAATAAATAAATACATTGACTAAAATCACTTCCATAAACCAGTCATTAAAAAGCCTGATGAATAATTAGCAACGCCTCCATGAGTGTTCCTTACAGTCGGTAACTGTGAATGACATTGTTATGTACATTCTGTCCCAAGTTTAATTCACTAGAGGATGGAAATGTGGTTATATAAGCAACTTTGGTAAATTTGTAATTGCCTGATATTCAACTATTTTATCCTTTTTTTCCCATAATTTGTTGTTTTGATGTAAAAAAATCTGATAACTTTTGAGTATTTGGTGTCCATAAAGAAGTAGGGTCATATAGTTCTTCATGGGTCAGGTGACTCTGATTTGTTTTCCACCTCAGGAATGCCTTTCAGGCATCCTTGACAAACTTACTGTTTTACTAATATTTGCTGTAATTTAGAATGTGATACTATTCCACTCAGTTATACATGGGTAAATAATTAATCTTCTAGAGTTAACTGTTACACAGACTTAAAGCAGTGTAGGTCCTATGGGCAATAATTTCAGGTTTAGGATCTGAACACTTCTGTTCCTAATGTTCCACATGAATTCCACAGTATGTATGTTCTTCCATTGTTCTAAGCTACCTTTGTTACCTGGCATAGTGGAAGCTATGCAGCTAGTGAGTTATGTTTTTTACATAAACTGATGTATTTTGCCCCAGGTTTTATTTTCTTTGATTTCTCTGAACTTTTAATTTACACTTGGAAATCCATAGCACATCTGTTTTGACAACCTACAAACACCTAAATACTTATCAGTAAAGCCTATGCCTTCTCAAACCTGATAGAGAGTCTTAGAGAACCAAGAATTCAATAAATGTAAAATTCAAACCAACCACTTGCAAGGTTATAGTTCAAGAAGTGCAGTAGTTGTTTTCACTTGAATTTTCACTTCTCTGTAAAATCCAGAAATTTCATGTTTAAGGAGTTGTTTGCTAATGTACAGGAAACTTTATTGGTATGTAAATATGTATATATTCCATATAATAAACATGTCTTAAGTGGATTTTATTACTTAGATTAAGTTATGCTTCCCCTCTAGATAATGGAAAAAACGTTGAGCTTGTAAGAGGTTGAAATGGCTGGTGGGTTTTGTTCTGGCATATGAGTAGTAAACAGATTACTTTCTAGGATAAGCCAGATGTGGCTTTGGGAAAGAAATTATGTTGGCAGGAATCCTACCTGCAGGGATGGATTAAATTCAGGAAATTGATGGCTGAACAAGTGCTATGAAGACTTTTTTCAGAGACAAATGGATTAGGTGTCCTCAAACAGCTACAGTTTCTATTCTAGTTAAGGCTCTCTAATTTCACATATGCCCTTCCACTTTATAAATGAACAGACCAATAGAGGTTGTTGCATTAATGCAATGCAAATGTGTAATGTTAATCATCTGCCTCCTCTCCAGATAAATAATTAACCAGAACATGGCAGGCTGTTCTTTATTTCCAAAAGCTATGCAGGGTCCTTGTCATTACTGACTGTACCTCCACCAGATTTTGGTATCAGCACACAGATATCTCCACCAAAAGGTGTATTTAACTACATAACAGAAAAGGTACGAATTGTTGAGATTTATTTTTTTTGGAAGTTATATAATACTCTGAAACAGTCATCTGCTCTAACATGCATAATTTATTCAAAAATCATTTGTGGAGCTGAGGGATTGATAGTTTGCAATGGAAAAATTGTAGGTATGCTAAGTACATTCTTGCAAAAATAAATCATGTAATCATATATTGAGATGCAATATTTCAAAATTCAAGGTACAGTTAAATTCTTTGCACACGTAACAGCAGTGAAATAACTTTGCACGGTTTATGTTGTAAACCCATATATCTACAGAGTAAATAGTAGAACACGGACCATGACGTTCTGTCAATACTGTTGCTTTAAATTTTTGTTTTATTCCACCAAAACTTTTCATATCAGTCTGGCATTTTTTGAACAACTATATACAGGACCAAAGAATTAGGAGTGGAAACTTGAAATATAGATCATATATATTTAATCTTTAAAACAAATGCAAAACCAGTAAGTGAAAAAACAAAGACATAAAAGACTGTAAGAACTCTTGAGAACATAAAATGAAGCATAAGAATGAATGTCGCGACAGATTTATGTATGTTCAAGTTTCAGCAAAAAGTGCTGAAGACGAATTTGAGAATATTTGTGTATCATACTTTTGGCACAATAGCAGGAACCAAAATAAATTATCCATGAATGAGACATAAGAAACAGATTCAGGGAGTAAACAACAAGCCAAATAAGAATTCTGAATTAAAGAAAAACCTTTCAAGCCAAAAGAGAGGTTTTTCAGCCCTGCAAGAGCACTTAAGAACAGTGTTGTTTTTTTCATGAGTTTTCAGTATTTCACTTTTTTTTAAAGTACCTAATTTAAGGAAAAGTGTTTCTCAAAAGTTAATACATCATCTTTGTCAGAAAAGCTAACCTATTTTTATTTTTCATTAAATACATTCTCTGTATTTATGCACTATAAGTAGTGCACAAAAAGCCTACTCCATCGGTGTCAAGCCAAAAGAGTAAATGAAAAGAAACTGCAAAGGAAATTCTAAAGAGAATTGGTTTTTTTTCCCATTCTCTTTTCTTTTGGGCTTAGCCTCAGAAGGAACTTTTTGTCCCAAAAGACAGAGGATAACTTTTCCCAAGAATCACACATCCTAAAGGTTACTACTCTAGTTGCAACTGGTTGATGACAAGACTATGCCTTTTTTTTCCTTCTTTCGTTTTTTGTTTTTTTTTTTTTTTTAATTAATCTCTAGAAATAGCTGTCATTAACAACAAGAACAAAATTAAGACTAAAACAAATTTATTTGTTTTCCAGACCTGGGTTTGACAAGCACTGTGTTGAAATTGCTCAGTAGGGAGACCTATATTGTACAAACACATTGCTCAGCTTTAAATGGTATCTTGTGATTTTCATGAAGTAGGTGACATAAGATGGTCATCAAAAGACAATGTAGTTTTTCATATGATTCATGTGATTCTGCTCTAGCCTGATACCCTTTGCATCCTTTTGTCACAGAAAAGTATTCCTAAAGTGCATCACATCCTTCAATTTTAGGATGCAGAGCAAAGTCGAATGAACAGACCACATTTATTGCAAATATAAATCCAACCCATGTAAACCAAAACTGACCACTTTCAGTACACCCTGTTGAGAACAGTTTGCCAGGTTCAGTGTGTCCTTTACCAGCAGTAATCTGACTGAGAACGAAAGATGTTAATAACTAACAGTGCCAGGTGCTGAAAGCAGAAACATTGGTACTTCTGAGGAAAGGACCATGGTGTTCTACCAGCACTGAACTACAGGAGGATTTAACAATTGTTTATGAAAGTTGCAT